GGGGGGGGGGGGGAGGGGGAACGAGATTAATGGTTTAACCTTTTAAGCAGCGAAAAAGATAAAGGTTTCGGTAACCCATATCAAGAGACTCTGAGAAGTCGCCGAGGACCATATCACTTTCACGTATGAGGACACAGATGGACTCCTACTACCGCACAACGATGCCCTAGTAATTTCTCTTAATGTTTTAGATTTTAAGATTAAATGTGTTTTGGTGGACCTAGGGAGTTCAGCCAATATTATCCAATGGAGAGTGCTGGAACAAGCCAAGTTGACTGGAAGCATCTTTCCGGGCACAAAGCTCCTCATCAGGTTTAATTTAGCAAGCGTAACAACCCGGGGGAAAATTATGCTGCCCACAAATGCTGAATGGGTAACAAAGACGACCCTTTTTGAAGTAGTAGACGGCGATATGTGCTACAGTATTATTCTTGGAAAATCGTGGCTACACAATATGAAGGCTATGCTGTCGACATACCATCAACTTCTGAAATTCACAACTCCGGAGGGAATTAAACAAATAAGAGGAGATCAACCGGCGGCAAGGAAAATGAAAGCATCTCAGTTTCCAATAGCAAAGAGAAGGAGCATGGGACATAGCAATTACAAGAACAGATGCTTGCTCCCGAACTGAACGAAGTCAACAAGGGGGGAGGGGTCGTCAGAATCCTATCAGGTACCAAGATATTTCCAGGTACAAGAAGAAATGAACACAACCAAATCCATAACGGAAGAACTCAAGCAAGTCGCATTATTTGAGAAATTCTTGGAGAGGAAGTTATACTTAGGGACAGGATTAAACAGGATTTATAGAATTTCTTAAATTTAACATTTATTGTTTTGCGTTGTCTCATGCGAATATAACAAGTATTCTTCCAGAGGTGGTCATGCACAAATTAAGCCTGGATCCTGACATCCCTCCGATAAGGCAGAAGAAACGCCCTATTGGCAAGGTCAGAAACAAATTTGTCAAACAAAAGCTAACTCGATTGCTTGATATCGGTTCAATTCGGGAGGTAAAGTATCTTGACTAGCTAGCTAACATAGTAGTAGTTCCAAAATGAATAATAAATTTCGTATGTGCATAGATTATAAGGATCTGAATAAGGCATGCCCAAAAGACTCGTTTCCATTGCCAAACATTGATCAAATGATTGACGCGATGGTTGGGCATGTGTTGATGAGTTTCCTCGATGCCTATTCGGAGTATAACCAAATCAAAATGAACCTAGAGGATCAGGAAAAAACTTCGTTCATAACGAACTTTGGCACATATTGCTATAATGTGATGCCTTTCGGGCTTAAGAATGTCGGAACCACTTATCAGAGGCTTGTGAATGAAATGTCTGAAAAACAGACAGGAAAAAATCGTCAAATTTTACATAGATGATATGTTGGTTAAGCCTTTGAACGCAGGTGATCATCTTAAACACCTACAAGAAACCTTTGACATCCTAAGGAATTACAACATGAAGCTTAACCACAAAAAGTGTGCATTCGGAGTCAGCTCCGGTAAGTTCTTAGGGTTCCTGGTGTCACAAAGGGGGATCAAAGTCAATCCCGTGAAAATTAAACCCATCGAGGACATCCCCGACCAGCTATCAAACATGAAAGAGGTTCATAGGTTAATTGGAAGATTGGTCGCTTTAAGCAGATTCATTTCTCGGTCTTCAGAAAAATATTATCACTTCTTCTTACTTCTGAAAAAGAAGAAGAACTTCGAATGGACTCCGGAATGCCAGTAGGCTCTGAAAGATTTGAAAAGGTATTTATCGATCCCATTACTATCAAAATCGGAGGAAGGCGAGTAGTTGTTGATTTACTTAACAGTCTCGGAGGTAGAGGTAAGTGTCGTTTTAGTCCGTGAAGATGAAGGTACGCAATATCCTATCTATTATGTTAGTAATATTTTAACGCGAGCGAAAACTCGCTACCCACATTTGGAAAAGTTTGCCTTAGCTCTCACAGTGTCGATCGAAAGCTTAGGCCTTACTTTCAATGTCACCCGATAGTCAGGGTGACAACCTTTCCCCTGCGAAATATCCTTCACGAACCTGAACTTTCAGGTCGACTGGTCAAATGGGCAGTCTAAATGAGTGAATTTGACATAGAGTATAAATCCAGGACTGCGATCAAGTCGCAAGTTTTGTCCAACTTTGTGGCCAATTTCAGACCTGGATTGCTGCCTTTGGCCACCAAAGAAGCGGTGATGGTGTCAGAAACGACATCGAGAGTCTGGACCTTGTTCACGTACGGAACTTCTAACGTAAAAAGGCTCGAGCTCGGGGTAGTACTAATCATGCCCTCGGGAGAAACCCTGAGGCAGGCCATAAGAACTGTTCCCTTCAATAACAATGAAGCCGAGTATGAGGCTTTAACTGTAGGACTCGAGCTGGCCCAAGGACTGGACTCCGAGGTCATAGAAATCAAATGTGATTTCCAACTGGAAGTAAATCAGGTTTACGGGATCTTCGATACCAAAGAGGAACGTATGCAACAATATGTAGTGAAAGTCCAGACGCTGCTCACACGGATTAGGGAATGGTCAATCACCCACATCTTGAGGGAAGAAAACAAGGACGCAAACGCACTGGCCAATCTGGGTCCGTCCACAAAAATGAAAGGATCAGACTCCGGTACGGTCGTACAGCTTATGCATTCGGTATTGGATGTGGACGGTTATTATGAGGTAAACGCGACAAAACTTTGGTCTGGGACTGGAGAAATAAGATCATTGACTATCTCGAGCACGAAAAACTACCCGAAGAGCCCAAAACAGCCCGGGCGCTACGCACTAAAGTAGCTTGTTACTGCTTTAGGGGAGGCCAATTGTATAGAAAGTCTTTCCAAGGCCCGTTAGCCCAATGTTTAGGAGCCTCCGAGGCTAATTACGTCATGATACTATTGGTATTAATTGGTTCATATTAAATAAGAACCAATTAAACCCCCGAGCGCTACGCACTAGGTTTAGGAGCCTCCGAGGGTAAAATTGGTTCATATTAAATCCTCGTATAATAGATAGACACGTGGAACCGGAGACAAATGGAAAGCAAGACTGGTGAAAATCAAGACCGGGGGTAGCAGTTCCGGTTGGTATCGAGAAGCCCCCGAAGGGAATATTGCTAATAAAGGCAAATGAATGCCTACAACCCGATAAAATTCAATGAAGAATATTGCAGTATTAAATACACAGTCCGTTATAGAGAATTATGACATTCATAGCCTGCCGTTACACATTCTTCAATGGCCTCCATAATTGTCATTTAAGAGAGGCTTGATGCTAGAACCTTGTTCTCTAGGTGCAACTATAAATAGTGAGTTCAACAGCCATTATAGAGACACGAGTTTTCTGACAAACTTATGCTACATACTACTTGAAAAGCTCAATAATACTTTATTTTTTGTCTATTGATATTCATATTTCTGCCTTCCGAAGCGAACCAAGCTAGTTGATGTCTTATCTCAATTTTCAACGCTAAGTCTTATATTTTATTTAATTAATTTATTATTTTATATCAAATAAATTTACTTGTCTATAAACCACGTTACAAATTCAATTGTATCATTTTACAGGTAAACAATAAAATGTGAGGTGTGGACAGGGCTAGGATGACTCTCTTTTCGAGGTATGATGAAGCACCACTTTTATCTCGTAGTAGCTATCGTGTTATTTCTTATGTTCTTTTATTGGAATTATTTCAAGTGTTAGTTCTATTATTTGGTATATAGGCTCCATAAATAGTTGTGTTGGATTGTAAAAATAGGATTGCGGACGTCATGCATAAATGAATAATTATTTAATTTGATTATACGGAGTATCATTTTTATGAAAAGTTTCATGTATGATTTTGAAAATAAAAAATATTTTGTGACTTGATTTGAAAATATATAAGATTTTCAATTGGTTCCGCAATTATATTTGGTCTTGACATGTGGATTGGTGCGTACAGGTCGGGTAGTGTGACGGGTGTCGGACACTTGAATTTGGGTAGTGACACTTTTCAAGGAAATATGTACCCTTTTTTATAGTATAACTAAGGTTATGGTAGAGTATCGTCAAAGCAACCTAATGGACTTCTAGGGTTTCAGCCCAAATTTCGTATGGACTGCTTCGTTAAAATTTTGATGTCTATAACCCATTTTAAATTTTTTTCTTAAATAAATGGGATTGAGAGAATAGATATGCAAGGCATTGTGGGTGAGTCCCAGCAATCTCTTTACTGATTTCAAGAGTGAAGTTATGTTCGAAGTTAACAATACCCGGGAGTGTCTGTGAGAAGTGGAGAGAGAATAGAAGCAGAGGGGGAAAATGAGTGAGAACGATTAGTGAGATGGAGATAGGGAACGAAGCGAGATGTAGTTGTGGGTCCCACGATAGACATTTGTCAGTCAACAAGAGCCCCACATCATACATTTGTCAGTCAACAAGAGCCCCACATCATACATTTGTCAGCCAAAGAGAGCCTCACGCAACTGACAATACGCGTATCACACGGAATAAAAAGTTTCCTTATGCAGTTATGCTAGATTTGGCCGAATTTTCTTAGTTGGAAAGAAAAATTACCAATCCAACCCTGACTTTAATAAAGACAAAATTAATTCTTTTCTCCTTTGTCTCTCTTCTTAGTAGCACCTTAGTCAATAAATTGGAGGCATTAGATTAGGCAGAAAAAAAAAAGAACTGGAGTCATTAGACAGCACTCCTAAACAAAGATGTTTTATTTCCAAGTATTATTCACAAAGGCAGTTAAGCATTTATAACAAATAAATACATTCTTTTTGTTCTAAAGTGTGCTGAAAAATAAGTGTGAGAAACAAATGGCAAAAGGCAAAAAAAAAAGGTAACTATTTACAGTTCCAGATTATAAGAAAAAGGAATTGCAGATCACTGGTAAAACCGGTAGTTCTTAGCTTGTTTGATAAGAGTCCACATCCCTCCAATGGGTGATAAAACAGTCAGCAGTATGCCAACTATGATGCAGAACTAGAATTTATTTGGAAAAAGAAAACAGAAAAAAGCCAAAGTAAGTTACAGAAATAAAATAAACCATGAAATTAAATAAGAATAGTTATAAAATCAAATTAAATTTTACTTACCCAATTGATAAACCAAGAAAAGCCAAACCTTTTGGGCTTTACAATGATAAGCCAAATGATGCAAGGAAGCTGCAGAAAAAAGGCAAGGTCAATATTGGCTGATAACTTAATTGGTTCATAAAAACGTAACAAAACTGGTGAATTCCTTATGTAATATACTTACGTAATACGATGTTGGGGCCAGAGCAAATCCACCAAAAAATCCCATTAGGCCACCAAAGAATGGTATGGTCAGACCCACGAACAATGTTAATGCTACAATTGGAAAAAGATAAAATAATAGAATGAAAACAACTCACTCCAATATCTTTCTTTTAAGTAAATAACTAAAATAGGGGCTAGAAGGAGTTATGAGTACGTATCCCTATAACTTACCAACATATGTAGTACGCACACTGAACCGAAGAATAGTGGATGGTTTTAGTCTCATTGATTTCACGGCATATGTCTCTATCATGTCAAATACGGGCATTGCGAAAACCTGCAAGTGTTTTTTTTCAAACAAAAAATGTGTTCAAGCTTTCAGATTGATGAGATGACGAGATAAATTAACACTTATCTATCATGAATTAGCAAAATTAAAGGTAGGTAGGTACCTGGTAACTTCCAATGACATGAACGACAACAAACAAGTTAGCTGCAGCAATAACCCAAGTAGGTTTTTCGAGTGAAAGCAAGATGTTATCCTCAACGACGTTACCAAAGGCCCAATAGCCAATGAAAGCGACAGGGAGATAACAGACGGCGACGATGAGATAAGCGACCCATACACCTTTCCACATTGGACCTTTGGAAGGTTTTTCGGGTGTTGAAGGAATGGTGGCTTGAATCTCAAGGACCACATTGTGGCCAGCATAGGCAAAAGCCACATCTCCAAGTGCACTCAAGAACATGAAAATATTATCAGATGTCTTTTCACACCTAAGTTCATAGCTCACTTCTCTGCCTTCAATCCCTCTCCCTACAGACGCTGCCCAAGCAACAATCGAATATGTCAAGGACATGACCGCTGCAGCCAAGGACACCAACGATATGGAATTGAAATTTGGCAAATGAGAAAGTACAAAGTGGACTGAGGAGAATATTATGATGAAGTAGGTCAGCTTTATTGGTTGACAATCAGGGCAAACTGTTTCGTGGAATTTCTTCAACGACTTGCCACCTGTTACCATGTATATTATGCAAGAACTCACGTCCACCACTATTTGTTGGGGTACAACAATCCAAAGTCCTAGTTTTTCACCAAAAGCATGTTGACCTAGCTCGTGGTACCTATCAAATCTCTTGCCATGTACCATTTCATGCATCTCTACCATTTGCCAGATTGTATAAAATGTTATTGCCCATGAAAGCAGCATTACTGTCACCCCAGGCCCCCTGTAACATTGATCAATTCTTCACCATTAGAGAATGACGGTGATTTAATAAAAACAAAAAATAATCCCCAAACGGGATAAGAATCGATCCATATAAAAGATACTGATACATAATTCATTGGAATGTCAGTAAATCCAAAATCTCCAGACATAATATGAAGAGAAGGAATAAGCAAACTCAGAAAATCAAGAACGTTTTGTCGTTCTTTAAAATTATCTGCACAAATAAAGCATTATAGATTAAAAGGATGTTATATATTAGAATCGTGCATGCAACAGATCCAAAGAGAGACAACTTGTTTAATTCTTGGTTATCTGATCTATCCAAAAAATTTGTGATCTCAAATATGAACGAGAACATAATTAAGAGTATAAAAGAATATACTTTCTCCATTTCATTTTATGTTTTCTAGTTTGAGCCAAGGTTTAAGAATAAAAAGAATACTTTTGAATCTTGAAATATTAAACTAAATCTATATATAT